TTGTCAACTTTATCCTCCAGTGTTGATGTTCTGTTTTCCATTTTATTCATTCTATTGGTAAGGCTTTCCCCTTTTGTTTCAAGTTGGCTTACTGAGTTTTGCACTTCCCTCTTCATTTCTGCCTGAGTTTTCTTCAATGTTTCTGTTTTGTGAATTCATGCAGAAGTTTATCCCTGTCTTCTTTTAGCTCTTTGTTTGTTGGTATGTTCTTTAAATTTGCTGAATTCCTTGATCATGTTTATGATTGTTCTTTGAAAATCAGTGTCCTGGGTTAACTCTAGAGGGTTCTCCTTGTAGAACTCTTCTACAGAATTGGTGGAGACTTGTGGGGACATAGTGTTTTGGCTTCCCATTTTATTATTCTTTCGTTGTGGTTTTGGCATGTAAATTTCTTTTGTTGTTTATGATTCTGATATGAGAATTAAGTTGAAGAATGCTTCTGTTTGTATTATCCAAGTGCCTAGATCCTTTCTTTATTGGTTATGTAAAGCTGGTTGGTACAGGGTTCAGGTTAAATTTGGAGGGAACTTATGGCTTCAGATCAGCTATTCAGGAGTACCCACAGAAGCCCAATTCAGGTTCCAGTCAGGTACACTCAGGCTTCCTGCACCACATGGAGGCAGGATCAGGGGGCTCTCAGGCAGTCCCCTGCGTTCTCAGGCTCTCTGCCTGAGGGAGGCCAGAACTCAGCACTCTCTGGTGGTCTGCTGAGGTCAGAGCCTCTATACCAATGGAGGGCCAAACCCACCCTCTCAGGCTGTCTGCTAGGATCTCAGCCTTAGACTACCAAAGCCAGGTCTGCCCTGGGGCCTTGGGAGGGGCCTCAGGAAATCCCAGGTAGGGGGATGGGTATGGCAAAATTAGGGGAAGCTCACCACCACATGGAGGTAGGATCTGGGGGCTCTCAGAGTCCCCTGTGTTCTCAGGCCCTCTGCTTGAGGGAGGCCAGAATTTGGCGCACTCTGGCAGACTGCTGAGATCCTCAATCTAGGATCTTTAATTAGTATGGAGGTATCCTAGCACTCAGGAGGCAGAGGCAGGAGAATGCATGCAAGTTTGAAGCCAATCGCAACTACATAGTGAGATCCTGTTTCAAAGATGTCAAAACCCAACCAAGCAAACAATAATTTAGAGTTTTGAAGCTGGAGTGCACTTGTCAATAGTCAGGAGAGACAAAAGCTAGTTCCATGGCTGTGACACATGCCTAGTGTGCCTGAGGCCCTAGATTCCAGCTCCATAGCTGTGACACATGCCTAGTATGTGTGATGCCCTGGGTTCTAGCTCCATGGCTGTGACACATGCTTCATGTGTGTGATGCCCTGGGTTCCAGCTCCATGGCTGTGACACATGCCTAGTGTGCATAAGGCCCTGGGTTCCATCCTCTTCTAGTTTGTTTCTCCATTGCTGTGATAAAACACTTTGACCAATACTAACTTGGGGGAGGAAAGGGTTTATTCAGCTTACATCTCCCAGGTCACAGTTCATCAGGGAGCCCAAGGTAGGAACTCAGGGCAGGAACCTGGAGGCAGGAGCTGGAGCACAGGCCATGGAGGAAAGCTGCTTACTGGCTTGCTCTCTTGGCCCCTGCTCAGCCTGCTTTCTTATGCAACACAGGCCCACCTGCCCAGGGGTGGCACCACCCACAGTGGGCTGGGCCCTCCCACATCACTCATCAAGAAGATGCCCCTCAGACATGGCCACAGGCCAGTCCAATGGAGGCAGTTCTCAGTTGAGGCTCCCTCAACCCAGGTGTGTCCACTTGGTACTGAAGCTATCCAGCATGGACCCCCAGCACTGCCAGCATTTTTAAAAAGACAAGATTTCACTACTTACGGATCCCAAGGGGGATATTCCTGATGCACTCCTCCCCTGGGGGTCAGAGAGCCTGTGGCCAATGTCTTCACTGGGTCCTTGGCATTATCTGAATGGCCTTGTCTCAGAAGCCTGATTGGTAGGGTTTCCACAGGCGAGCACAGGTTCCAGGATCAGTGTGACCAGCCAGGCAGGCGTGCATGTGGCTGTCACAGAGGGAGGTCATCATGAAGTGGCTGCACAGGGCAGATGTGTAGCAGCTGTGCCAAAGCGCCCAAAGAGGAGAAGCCTGGGTCAACAGTTACTGAGCTTCTGCTCTGAGACTGTCCAAATTCTGTTCTAAACAGATGCTAAGGAAGTGTAAGGAAAGAATTGACTCCACTGTTGAGCCCTGTGGGTGAACAGACCGACAGGGTCACCAGTACAGTGGCCTCTCGCCAGCCTACCATCCCGATGAGACCTTCTGTCATCCTCCCTTTGCTGCTCACCCTGTGGGCAAGATGCCCAGGGCATTGTGCCCCACCTCGTCCCGTGCTGGCCCCTGAAGAGCCCTGACCTCACTTCCCTGGCATGAGCACTTAACCACCTTCCTTCTGCCCTCTGTCCCCTGATGGGCACCGCTGACAATCAGGTGTGGCCAAGCTGAGATGCCATGTACACTGGATCAACAGCTGGGCCAACAAAGGCTGGGCATGCTCAGAGAACTGGCTCCAAGTCCTTAGGGTGGCTGCTGGGGACCTGGAGACAAAGGGGAGGAGGCCCAGTGTCCCAGAAGTCAGGACTGGGTCCCACTGTGCTTTCTGCCATGTTAGGTACCATGAGTGTTGCTTAAATCGAAGGTTCCCATCCCTGGACTCGGGAGGCAGACGCAGGCTGATATTTGTGAGTTTGAGGATAGTCTGTTCTAAATAGTTCCAGGCCAGCCATTGCCTACATAGTGAGACCCTGTCTCAAAAAACAAACAAAAAGACCAAAAAACAAAAAACCAGAAGAAGCCACACATGGTGGCACACACATTTAAATTCCAGCACTTGGGAGGCAGAGGCAGGTGGATCTCTGTGAGATAGAGGCCAGCCTGGTCTCCATAGCGAATTCCAGGCCAACGGGGCCTACAGGGAGACCCTGTCTCAAAACAAACAAGCCAAATGATCAGAAGAAAAAAAACCATTCAAAGAAGGTTCCCAATCAGTGCTCCCCCTCATCATAGAAAAGAGACATGTGAGGGCTGGAAAGATGGCTCAGTGGGTAAGAACACTTGCTCTGCATGCATGGAGACCTGAGTTCAAATCTCCAGCATCCACATAAAAAGCCAGGTGTGGCTGTGTGAGTACCCATAAACCCAGTGTGGTGGGGCACAGAGACAGAAGGATTGCTAGGCTTGTTGACTGCCAACCCAGCTCCAGGCCATCCACACCTGCATAGGTGCACGCACCCATAAACACATGTACACATACACCACTGTCATACAATATGCACACACTAGAAAAAGAAAAAAAGAATCATGGGTGGAGGATGTAGTTCAGCCGGTAAGAGTGCTTGCCTGGCATACACTATCATCCTGGGTTCAATCCTTAGCACTGTGTAAACCAGGTATGGTGGTACACACCTGTAATTCCAGGACTCAGGAGATAGAGGCAGGAGAATCAGGAGTTCAAGGCATGAACAGGAGACAGTGCCCAGCACAGAGCCAGTGCTCCAAGGCCCAACGAAGCCATTCTGTGGTACACTGGGCGGAGCCTGTGTGACTGTGTTCTCCTTCCCTCCCCCAGAACCTCCCACCTGCTCCCCTGACCAGTTTACATGTGCCACCGGTGAGATAGACTGCATCCCCGGAGCCTGGCGCTGTGATGGCTTTCCTGAGTGTGCCGACCAGAGTGACGAGGAGGGCTGCCCCGTGTGCTCAGCCTCCCAGTTCCCCTGTGCACGCGGCCAGTGCGTGGACCTGCGCCTACGCTGTGATGGTGAAGCCGACTGCCAGGACCGCTCAGATGAAGCCAACTGTGATGGTGAGGCCTCGCCCTGCCCAACTCGGCTGCTGTTTCCACCCAGACCTGCCAAAGCCATTTGCCTTGCCCTCCTGGACTCCGAGTATGGGGCCCCATCTGGCCTTCCACAAGTAGGGATTCTGGAAGACCTCTGCCTGGAGGAAAATTGCCAGGTCCTCTCCATGGGAGCAAAGGAAGTGAGTTTTAGGCACAACCTGTGGCCACATCTGTCACAACAGGCAATTGACTTGAAGACAGGCTAAGAATCTGTCTCACCTTGCCACATTCGAGAGAGAATTTTGCAGAGACTCAAGTTGACTCTGGAGGTCTGGGAGTTTCCATGGCTCACATCCTGGTACATTCCTGTCCCTAAAGGCAGTGTTGTGCTGCACTGAGCCATTTGTAAAATAATGCTGACCACCTGGGCCTACTCTGACCTGAAAGATCTGTATCTATACATGTATTATTTGCGGGGGAGGGGAGGTAGATAGGACTGGATGTAGCCCAGGCTGACCTTGAATTTGCTATGTAGCCAAGGATAACTGAACTTCTCTGTCTACCTCCTGAGTGCTGGTATTATAGGTGTTTACCACCACACCTGGTTTATGTGATGCTGGGGTGAAACCCAGGGCTCCATGATGGTTAGGCAAGCACTGTACCAACTGAACTACATCCCCAACTTTTTCTTTAGGTTTATTTATTTCGTGTGTGTGCACACGCATGCACACACCCAGGCATGCTATGGCATGCTTATGGAGGTCAAAAGACATCTTTGGGGAGTTGGTTCTCTCCTTCCACGACATGGCTGTTGTGCAGCACTATTCCTGGGGCAGTGTGAACAAACGTCTACTAACCCCCAGATAGGGAACCAATGACAGACCAAGGTCAGGATACCACCAAAGTCCACCTTGGTGAACCAATGAGTTTTGTCAGGGTTATTTATGGGATTAGGGGTGAGGGGTTACTTTCAGGAGCAGAAATGACCAAAGGACCGCTGCATCATCAAAAGCCCACCCCAGTATTGGTGATGCTCAGGAAGGCTGGAACCCAGGAGCTCACTGCACAACTTGTAGGCAGGCAGCTCAACAGGTTGGAGAGTGCCTCTTTCAGGCATCTGGTCTCATCTGAGTCTCTTCCAGGCAGTGGGGCCATTCCCAGTGCCTCTCAGCAGCCCTTGCTGACTATGTACTCCTGGAGAGGGTAGGACCTAGCGAATCTGGTCAGTTGCAGGGACTTCCTGAGTTCTAATGAGCTTCCCTGCAGAATGGAATGTTTCTTCTCCCTTTAGAACAACCTGGGTCTTGAGGCTGGAGAGATGGCTGAGTGGGTAACAGCACTTGCTGCTCTTGAAGAGGACCTAGGTTCAGTTCCCAGCACCCACATGGCAGCTAACAACCATCTGTAACTCCAGTTCTGGGGAATCTCACATCCTCTTCTGGCCTCCATGGGCACCAGGCACACATGTGGAGCGCATATATACAAGTAGGCAGACACTCATGTATGCAAAATGAAAATGAATAAATCTGTTTTAAAAAGTGGGGGGGATGCTGGAGAGGTGGCTCAGCGGTTAAGAACACCCACTGTTCTTGCAGAAGACCCGGGTTCAAATCCCAGTATCCACATGGCCGCTAACAACTGTCCATAACTCCAGTTCCAGGAGATCTGATGGCCTCTTCTGTCCTCTGAGAGCATTGCACGACACGGGCACGCTTACATACATGTAGGCAATATACACATAGACACAAAATAAAACTAGTAAATAAAATACTTAGAAAAACCCAAAACATCCTGAGTCTTAAGGAGTTTCCTTCCAAGGTGGAATGCTTTGTCGTAGAGGAAACTACTGTACAACAGTGGGTCTCAGGGATTAAACTCAGGTCCCCAGACTTGGCTGCAAGTGCCTTTATCCACTGAGCCTCCTCACCAGCTCTCCTTTAAATCCTAACAATGAAACATATCCCTCTCTCTCTTTCTCTCTCTCTTTTTTTTTTTTTGGTCTTTTTGACACAGGGTCTCCCTGTAGCCCCAGCTGGCCTGGATTCGCTATGTAGACCAGGCTGGCCTCGAGCTCACAGAGATCCACCTGCCTCTGCCTCTGCTGGGATTAAAGGCGTGCGCCACCACGCCCAGTCGAAACATCACTTTGCATTCACTCTTCAAGTCTCTTTGATAAATGATCTTTGTTGTTGGTTGGCACATGCTGTCAGCACCACTGAGTTCCTGTGGTCACTCTTTCTGCCTTCCCCCGAAGCCACTGTGTCATGTGCTTGATGACTCAGATGCTTTCTGTTACTGTCCTCGGTCGTCATTCAGCACGAGCCGGTGTTTCTGTGCAGCCATAGTTAAGGCCTCACAGCGCACCAGTGCTTTGAGGATTTGGTGGAGCCTCTGGACCAAGGGTAGCAGATGGTGGCACGTGTACCAAACCCAGCCAGCTGCCTGTGTCTATGACTGAAGCTCTGTTGGCACTTGCCAGACCCACTGACTCACTTGCATGCAGGCTATTTCGTGCTAAGACAGGAGAGCTGGGTGGCTGGTGACAGAGCCAGCCATAGTGCCTGCCTGTGCTTTCAGAGCACCTAAGTGATAGGCTAGGACCCATGCCTCCCGTGTCCCACTCACCCTCCCACACTTCTCCCGATGTGAGATGTTGCACTAACAGCTGGCCCTCCCACAGGTGCTGGCTCACCACTATGGTACCTTCTAGAAAGGACAGGGCACCTGGGACAGGGTGGGAGGGACAGATGGAGGTTCTGGGAGATGCGATGCCTAAGCCCGGTGGCTACTTTCCTGACTGCAGGTCCCACTTGTCCTTGTCCTGCTCTCCTCTCAGGTGTTGGAGGCTCTGGCTTGCTCTCTGCAAGGACTGCTTCTGCCTTCAGACAGTCCTGGGCTCCACTGCCCTACCCCGCCTGCAGGGACAGGGAGGTGCAGTTCCTGGTGGCTCCTCTCCTGGCCTCACCTTCCCAGAAATCCTGGTTAACCCTGGAGCTGGGGGCTGTTGGTCCTTGCTCTGTGCTTTAACTGACTCAGGCTAGATGCCTGAGATGCCCCCTGGGATCAGGCAGGACATTGAGGTCCACCCCGCCCCCCAAATTGCATCTACCTTGGAACTGGGGTCATGGGGGTGTGAGACTAGAAAGTGTTTTCTCTGTTAGCTTGAGTTTGGAATCAGACCTTTGAGTTGGAGTCGGGGCATCTGCCACTCTCCAGCTCCTCTGAGTACCCCCTCCCCATTGTGTTCTTTGTAGCTGTGTGCCTGCCCAACCAGTTCCGGTGCGCCAGTGGCCAGTGCGTCCTCATCAAGCAGCAGTGCGACTCCTTCCCCGACTGCGCCGATGGCTCCGATGAGCTCCTATGTGGTGAGTGGTCTCATCTCAGGCAGGGCCAGAGCCCCATAGGGTCTCCAGTGTCTGAGTGTAGGCGGGTCTGAGACACCTGGAAGGTTTGGGTGCACATGACTAGAGAGTGCTAGTTTCTTTTCTGTTACAATGATAAAATACTCTTAAACCGCCCCCCCGCCCCCCCAAAAGCCGGGCATGGTGGTGCATGCCTTTAATCCCAGCACTCTGGAGGCAGAGGCAGACCGATCTCTTTGAGTTCAAGGCCAGCCTGGTCTACATAGTGAGTTCCAGGCCAGCTGGGGCTACAGGGAGGCCCTGTCTCAAAAAGACAAAAAAAAAAATTAATAATAAAAATAAATAAATAAAAATAAAAATAATGAACAAAAAAATTTTTTTAAGGTGCAGGTGTGGGCCGGGAATGGTGGCTCACACCTTTAATCCCAGCACTGGGGAGGCAGAAGCAGGTGGATCTCTATGCGTTCAAGGCCATCCTGGTCTACATAGTGAGTTCCAGGCCAGCTGGGGCTACAGGGAGACCCTGTCTCAAGAAGACAAAAAAAAAACCCTAAGAAAACCTTAGGAGAGAAAGGGCTTATTTGACTTATAATTCCAGCTCACAGCCCATCATTGTGGGGCAGTTGAGGCAGGAACTTGAAACAGCGGGTCACATCTCCAGGCAAGAGCAGACAGAACGAAGGTATGCATGGCCACTGCTCAGCCCCCTCTCTACTCTTACGCAGTTCAGAACCCAAGCCCAGAGAATGGTGCCTGCCCACTTTTAGGCTGCCTTCCCACCACAGTTAATGTAATCAAGGCAATCCCTGGCAAGATAGCCCACAAGCCAACCTGATCTAGACAGTCCCACATTGACACCCTTCCCATGTGAGTGTAGATTGTGTCAAGTTGAGAACTGAAACTGACTATCAAGTTTGGTGTGGTGGTGCATGCTTATAAATCCCAGAACTTAGAAGGCAGAGGCAGGCAGATCTCTGAGAGTGAGGCCAGCCTGGTCTATATTGTAAGTTCCAGGCCAGCTGGAGTTACAGGGAGACCCTGCCTCAAACAAACAGCAACAAAAACGCCCATAACTATCACAGAGAGGCAACCGCTCAAAGGGGAGACTGAGCTATGGGGTGACTCCGACTGGGGATGGAGGGCTGGCAGGGCAGAGGGCCGGCTCACTTGGGAGTCTGCCTAGTTGGGAGTCACTGTGCCCCAGGGCAGAGCAGCAGCCACACTTTTGCCTTGGGGCCCTGCAGCCAGGATCCTTGAGGCTGACAATCTACATGTGGCCCCAGAAAAAGGACAGAAGCATTTCACACACATTCCACATACGTACACATACTTAAGAATACTTCACACATGTCCTTTGAGTGACATGAGCTGACACAAATATCAGACAACTCTGGTTGAGTTGTCTGGGCCGGACATGGAGGGACACGGCACCGCCAAACGGCATACCCACAAGGGCGCAAGGCTGTGTTTGCAGGTGCCCAAGGCCACACCCGCTGCCCCATGTCCTGTATAAGTCCTAGAGGGAAGGTGGCCAGGGGCAGTTAGGGAAGGCTGCCTAGAGGTGGTGGTGACTCTGGAGAGGCTGTAGATTTTGAGGGGAAAGAACTGGAATTCCAGACAGGAAGTAGGGACTGTGCCACTGTGTCAGGGAGTCTGGCCTTTCTACTGCACAGGACTAGGGCTTAGAAGAGTTCTACTGGAGAGGTGACATGTGGGGAGAAGGAAGTTTCATCAAGGGACTCAGACACCATCACAGGTTGGACACTTTGGGCGCCATCTCGAGTGGCCTGGGCCAAGTGGCAGAGCTGGGGTTGCTGATGTGCCCCTCAGCACTTTGCTGGGCAGGTGCCCTGTCTGATGAGATGTGTACACGAGCCACCATAGGCCTGGTGACGCTTCCCACACTTGGGCTCCATCCCTGGAACCAGAAGCTTTCTCTTTAAGTTCTGGGCTGCTAAGAGGGAACAGAGTTGATACCCTCAGGACTGTTGGGCAACCTATGGGAAGGCAAACGCATTTTTATCAGCTGAATCGGGGTTCTGACATGTGCTCTGAGCTCTGGTGGTCTTCGTGTTGGAATGGTACAACAGCTGACCCCTACCTGACAGACCTCTGTGGACTGGTACACCGCTCCTCACACCCACCTTTCCTCTATACATGATACAGGCCAAGGGCTACTGGGCAAAGTGCACAGGCAACCATCAGGAAGGAGGGCAGGGTCTGGTGGGCCTGGGAGCAGCTAGCAGTGGTCGTAGAGTGAGCCCTATCTCCAGGTGTGCTGGATAGCTTTAGTGTCAACTTGACACACCTGGGTTGAGGGAGCCTCAACTGGGGAATTGCCTCTATTGGACTGGCCTGTGGCCATGTCTGAGGGGCATCTTCTTGATGAGTGATGTGGGAGGGCCCAGCCCACTGTGGGTGGTGCCACCCCTGGGCAGGTGGGCCTATGTAGCATAAGAAAGCAGGCTGAGCAGGGGCCAGGGGAGCAAGCCAGTAAGCAGCGTGCCTCCATGGCCTGTGCTCCAGCTCCTGCCTCCAGGTTCCTGCCCTGAATTCCTACCTTGGGCTCCCTGATGAACTGTGACCTGGGAGATGTAAGCTGAATAAACCCTTTCCTTCCCAAGTTGGTATTGGTCAGAGTATTTTGTCACAGCAATGAAGAAACAAACTAGGACAGAGAGTGGTACGAGAGAGTGGGATATTGCTGTGACAGACCTGACCTTGGTGTTTTGGGGAGGACTGTGGAAGTGTTTGGAACTTTGGGCTGGAAAAGCCATTGCGTGCTCAGAGTTTGTTGCAGTGGAGCTTGGAACAGTTACACTGAAAGAGCTGTGGACAATGGAGGCCTGGCTTATGAAGCTTCAAAGGGAAGCGGAGACTATCAAGGCTGATCGTGTGAGATTTTGGATTGAGAGTCTGTGGGTTCTGGTCCGCTGGGGCTGAAGAATCAGCTGTGATTAAGAAGAGACCAGAACCTGAAGAAAAACCTTTGCTTTACTGGGACAATTGATGCTGGCTAGTTGGGGCTGAAAAATCAGCTGTAAGTAACGAGAGCAGCATCACTGTGGTGGAATCTTCTGGGAGGTATTTCCTCAGGGTCAGCACACAGAGGGGACCTGCACCTCTATTTCCAGCTGGAAGCAGGACTTGGTAATGTGTAAGAGTCTCCTGCATGGTTCTGGTGTTGAAAGCGTGAAGGGGTCACAGAGAGCAGCTGAGGCTTGGCACTCTGAGAGGCCAGGAAAGGCCATAGGGGAAAGTGCCGCTTCAGTTGCAGTGAAGACCCCAGGATTGAAGGGGTCATGGAGAGAATCTGAGACTTTGCACCTGAGAGGCAAGAAGCTATTGGTGAAGGTGTAGCCTCAGTTTTGGTGGAGACCCCAGTTTTTTGGAGATGCCGGGACCATGGGACGACCACCAAGGACAGCAGCAGGTGTGGCGTGGAGCAGGCCTGGGTCTGGGAGATGAGCTGAGTGTGCTGTGGACTGCAGAGTCAGAGCAGTGGAGCTGCCAGTACCCTTTGGAGCCAGAAGATCATGAGTGAATCCCAAATGTCCAGCCTTAAGCTACTTTACTGGACTCTGGTTTTGCTTAGGTGTGCCCAATTCTTCCCTTTGAAATAAGATAGTACTTGTTTTGGATTTTACAGAAGTCAACAGTTAAGAGACTTTTAAAAGAGACTATGGACTTTTAAGTGTTTGGATTTTTTTAAGGACTGTGGGGTTTTTAAGGTCATACTGTCTTATGTTGTGATATTAATGTTAACATCATAGTTTGGGGACAAGAATTGGAAAGCTTATGGTTTAATAGTGATGTGTTAGTGTGTCAAGTTGACAAGGGGTCAATTGTGCTGGATAGCTTTAGTGTCAACTTGACACACCTGGGTTGAGGGAGCCTCAATCGGGAAATTGCCTCTATTGGACTGGCCTGTGGCCATGTC